TGTAGCGTCTCCAAAACTGCTGCTTGGTGTCGCGCAGCTCGGTCTCCCCAAGCATGGTGTCCAAGTCCGACAGTGCAATCTTGGATCGATCCTGCTCCACCTGACGATAGTAGAGTCCCACTGCGGCCCATGCTCTGCGGACTCGAGCCGTCATCAGCAGTGCCTTATCCCCCAGGCCCAGCTTAGCAACCCAGGGCTCAATGGCTTGCTCTGATGCCCAGAGGAAACGAAACTCTTGCAAACTTTCGACGCCCAACCGGAGCAGGGCTGTAATTACCCCATCATCCAACGAGAAGTTGTCACCCAACTTCCTTAGGATTTCCTCTGGGGAACCCTTTTCCAGTGGGACTTTATCAGTCTCCATGGCCTATTCTCGAGGACACCCCTCTAGCTAAGGCCCAGGGATCCCCTCCCTTTGACTGAAAACTGCGCCTCGGGTCTCCCCCGTGCGTTGTGCTGGAACAGCCTGGCGTGGCATGAAATGAATGGACCCTGACATACACTGATGTGAAATCTGGACATGTGTACAACGCACAGCTATGTTGCGACCTCACATGACATCACCTTCATGCCGCCACAGAGCTATGGTACACTAGACTATCTGAGGTCCCCCTCCCAGATGGTCTTGTGCGTTGTCATGAAAAGAAAAACTTGAAAAACACAACGAAAGGACATGAGGGCACGGCACTTGCTCAGTGGGCACCCCACTGAAAGTCACCTGGCTCTACTATTTTCCTCTCGCGCATGATGTTACTGCTGGGGGCGGTCATGCAGGCTGGATTGAAGCTCTTATCCAAGCCCCGAGCTGATGAATTCGGCTCTCCATGGCCGGAACGGGCCAGTGCTGCTGATCAGCGCAAAGGCCAAAAATTCGGCTTGGGCATCTTAGGCAGGCGGCCACCATGACGCTGGCGCTCGACGGAGGCACTGGTCACACCAGGGGCGCTCCCATGCCAGAGCTTCAAAGACGTCCGTGGACATGTATGGGTTCACCAGGCGCTTCGCCTTCCCATCGGCCTGCTTGTGCTGGCACAAGGTGATGCCGTCCTCGACCGTGACATGGGTGCTGGACCTCTCCGTAGCTGCATATCCCTGCGGCTCGGGGTGCTGTGTTCCCGCCGCGGTGTCCTGGAAGGTCTTGTGCAGCCACTTCCGCATGCCTTGGTCGCGAATGACCTTGTTCAGCTCTGTATCCCTGCGGCTCTCTACGTAGTGGTTGGCATCCTCAATGGACTCACTGGCCAGCAATGCGCGGCAGAGGATGCCTAAGAAAGCACCCCGGTGTCGCCCCTTGATGCAGTGCACCACGACGTTGTCGCCGTGCCAAACAGTGTTCTTGACGGCCGGCCACACGTCTGTCCACTGTTCGTTGCGTTCCTGGCTGTATGCCGCCGCGAAGGTCAGGAACTTGTCCACCGTCTGCCTCATTGGAAGTCCTGCCAGGTAGATGCCACCACCCTTCCGGGATGTCCAGATGCAAGTCGGGGCCTGGGCTGTCCCTGAGCCCACACCCAACCGCTCCAAGTGGAGGTCCAAGGTGTCTCCTGCTGCCTTGCCACGGCCTTTCTTTGGCATGGCCTTGATCTGTGGCTTCCCAGGAGCGGCCAAGTGCTTCGGCGTTGTGGTTGTAGCCCTGGCCTTCGCAGCTGTGGCCGGTGGCTTAGGTGTAGTGGCTGCAGCCTTCGGAGGGGTCTTGGGGGCTGCAATGGCTGGCGCCTTGGGCGGAGTCTTGGGTGCAGCCTGACCTCGGGCTTTCTTGACAGCTGCGCGCATCACCTCGGCCATCTCGTCGTCAGTGGCACCGCTCGCCGCGGTCCTCTTCCGGCCAAAAGTGGCCTTCTCCCCCACGGCTGCCGGCACCAAGGTGGCCGATGGCTTGGGTGCCGCTGGCACTGCTGTTGCGGCCAACACCGCCCGCTTGATGTTGCAGACGCCTGCACCGTGCTTGCCACCACATGCCCGTCCTGACTTTTGTAGAATGGCACACAAGTGCACGCCGAAGGGGCAGGAGTCTGCCGGATTCGGGCACTCGTCCTTCTGGAACTCCGGGCAAATGGCCTTGCCATTCTTCAAAGTGGCCGTCAGCACCTTGCCATTGAGTTGATCAGGCATCTGAGGTGCCGGTGCGGCTTCGGCCTCTTGCCGGGCTTGCTGTGCCGCTTCAACAAACTGCTGTGACAACTTGAGCCTCTTCTTCACGTCCTGGAAGCTATGTGCAGAGGCCCAAATAGGTTGGCGGTCTTGTCGCAGCAACCTGTCAGCTTCAGTAAGGCCATGAGCTCGGGCTGCATCTAGCTCTGCCTGCGGGATCGCCTCCCACAGCAGGTTGCTAGCGAGCTTGGCCGTAGCGCCCCAGATCAGGGATTTCACCTTGACCGACGCGGCGTATTTTGCCGAAGAATAGTGAAATGCCATCGCCCCCACCTCTGGTTGCTCACTCTTGTTTTGCCAGTCGCCCAGGGCTGCCATTTCTTCAGGCCTGCATCCTAACAACTGGGCCACCGTGGGTGCAAGCCTCCTCCAGCTGTAGGTGGTCAGATCTTCTGGATTGTCGAGGAACACGGACATTTCCTGTTGCATCGTCTCTTGCACTTCTAGGATCGTCCATGGGCGCCCTTCGTCCGAAAAACAAAGGCCTGCAAGTCTCTGCCTTGCTGGTGCCAGCGTCCTGTATGCCTCCAGCACTTCCTTGGCCCAAAAGAAGCCGTTGGCGAATGTGGCCGGCACCGCAAAGTCGAAACCTTCGCGGGCATGCTTTTGTTTTCCTTTAGGGCACCTGCAATGGAGGAATGCAGCGGTGAGGCGCCGAGGTTCTGACCGCGCAATGTGCGCATACCTCAAACAGCCAAACGACATGATCCAAGGAGCCAGAAGAACTGACCACCTCTCATCGCCGACCGCGTGCAACTCCGTGATGCGGTCCTCCAAGGCCTGCACTAATGGCGGCTCCACCACCGGTGCTTGCCCACGCTGCCCAGTCGCCCTGGGTGTTGTAGGCACTTGCAAGTTTCCCAGCTCCATGTCTTGGTCGGCATTCTTGTTCATCCATTTCAAGGCTTGGAGTGCTCGTGCTGGCGCCTGGGTGTGGTTGAGGAACTGATCCAGGTCGACCATTCCAGGAGGAGCGGGTCGCCCCCGACTCTCCAAGAAGGCCCTCAGCTCCAACCAGGTGTTGACCACTCGGTCAATGGTCGCCTTCTCCGCGTCCTTCACCTTCTTCTCGGCGATCCTCTTGCACGTTTGTTTCCATTCGGCCTTGAGGGTGTCTGTCAAGATGCCAGCTGGTTTGTATGCGCCCATTCCGACAAACATCGACACCAAGCCGTTCACCCGCTTTTGGACGGCCTCATCCAGGTTCTTGGTGACGTTGACGGCCTTGGGCTTTTTCTTGTAGATTGTCTTGCGCACAGGGCGCAGAGTGACGGAACCCTTGGGGTTGTCCTCCACGACTTTGGCCCCAGCAGCAAGGAGGTGCTCTTCCACCCTTGCTCTTGTCTGCAGCCAGTCATCTGCTACGTGATGGCCAGCTAGTCCAACGACTTGATCGTAGTCGGTGTAGGCATAGGCGAAGTCGTTGTCGTCCAGGAGGCCTTCGTTCTCCCTCCATTGACGCGCACGCTGTGCAGCTATCATCATCAAGGAGTCGGCTGCTCTCCATCCCGGTTCAGGGTCACCCCCTGACGAGGACGAAGCTGCCGCTTGAGCTGCATAGTAGCCTTTGCCGCCTGATGCCATGGCGCTGCACCCTAACAAGATTGCTAAGGTGCGGAGAGCAAAAAGATGCTGCGGTGACTTCAGAGGTGCCTCCTCTGTCATAAAATCAACCTGCAGCAAACATCTTCTTACGTCCTCCACAAGTGCTGCATGGCTCACGCCAGGTGAAGCAGTCACTACACATCCCGACGCAGCATGCCCAGCACACGCGCCTGGTGGGATCTCCGCACTCTGTGCAGGCGGTGCCCAGCTGAAGCATGCCTGCATCCTGGCATTCCAGCCATCCACATAGCGCTCGATGTGCCCTGGCGCCTTCTCTCCCCCAGGCCACCCAGGGTCGCCCCCTAGGTGCTCTGGGGAAATGCCGCGGCTCGAGGAAGACCGGTAGGAGCTCGTGAGGGCCTGTGCATCTGAGCCAGCTCCTCCATTGATCGAACAGCTCCCCCAAGCCCAGTTGCCCAGCGTCGCCCGCTGAGCACCTGAGCTGCAACCCGTAGAGATCCTGGGGCACGATGTCAGCGGCCACTTTGTGCTTCGTATAGGCAGCGACCAGCAGCAGGTCCATGGGGTCCTGGTGCTGGTAGTAGTACGCCCAAGCATCCGCAGGCGCCACATCATCGGGCAGCACAACGCCACGGCTGTTCCACAAGCCGAGCCACGGGAACTTGAACCCCCCCACATGAGCTGCGCAGCGCTGGCAGTCATCAAGGCAACAGGGTAGCTTCGGCGGGGGGGGGAAGCTCTGAATCTGTCCCAGTCGTGACGACGTAGGGGGAATGCAACACTTCAATGCCATGCATCCAGCATGTGTATGCTGCAGCATCAGAGCCCTCCCGCGCCAGCCTTTCCACGTGGCCCTTGAACTCCAGGAAAGCAGCAGCATGAAGGATCTTCGCCTCAGTGGCTGCCGGGATATCGATTCCTGGGAGTTTGCGCTGCATACAAGGTCGCCCCTTGTATATAATTTGAACCACCCAATCAAGGTCTGGAAAGGTCACCCCTTACCAAGACCAAGAAAGAAAACAGCAATGAATGCTATTTTGGTTCAAGTTTACTTGAGCCAAAATGGTAGCATTCATTGAAACACTTAAAGATGATACATGCACACCCAAGCCTGCCAAACTCAATGCATGGGTATATATGTATATATACATATACACGCACACCGTATCTCTCACATTATATCATTATAAATTATAAATTATATCACTCAATACTCTGTGGCTGTTCAGACCAAAATGAAGCAACACTTCCAAAACTTGGCTCTGCTCTCTGAGTCTTCCCACGGCCTCCACACTCCGGACATGGCCTCTCCACTGCTCTCCTTAGCGGCCAACACCCTGTGCTGTGTCATGATTCCGTCAATGATGTGTCTATGCTCACTACGTCATCTATGCGACACTCGGATACACTCGGCCTATTTCAAAACGCTTTTCGAACTGCCAGCGCCTAGTCTGCCTGTCAGAGCAGCTCATCTCACACTTTGAATCTTGTGCGTCATGACAATCACCAGCAGGTTCATGAAACAGCCCAGAAAGAGCATGATGGAAGCATATCCGACGAAAGGGTATGAGCCACCTGAGCCACCTGCTTCATCTTTGGTCTGGGTGAAAGAGAGCAAGTAGCCACCCAGGACAGGTCCCAAGGTGGAGCCAAAAAACCCGACCACACCCCAGAGCCCCAAGGCTTCTGCCGATGTTTTGCCCTCTGGCAGGCAATCCAAGGCCAGTGCATAGTCCACACTGAGGTATGCGCCTGAGCCCACGCCGTAGAAAACAGCTGCTGCCACCACCACAGGCCATGCCAAAGATGGTACCAGGGGCGCCAGCACATATAACAAAAAGGTGCAGACCATGAACATGCACGAAATGTAGATCATGGGTTTTCGACCGAGACGATTGGAAAGCTTGCCGAGTGGGATGCTAGTGATCATACCCACGCATTGCATCAAAATGGCCAGAAAGCCAATCACTCTCTTGCACCGCGCTTCGTCCTCAACGTGGAGCATGTCCCGGAAGTAGTAGTACATGAAGGTGGCAATGGATGTCGACATGTAGTAGCACATCCGTCCAGCACAAACCCAAAAGAAGTCTGCATCCCTGGTGGCATCGATGACGAAGCTCTTGCGAAGTTCCGAGAAGGTCAGTGCCGCTGAGGTGCTACTCAGGGAAGAGGTCTCAGTGGCACAGCAGCACACGACAGCACAAACAAGAGAAATGCCCGCGGTGTAGATTCCATAGTGAACGTGAATGGGAGCGGAGCTGGTCAAAATGATGAGCGCCATGGCCAACAGCGAACCTAGGAAGGTGTACATGGCAACCAATCCACTGACTACTGATTTCTCTGATCCTTGCCCCGGGTCAGCACTGAGAAAATCGGCTGGTAGGCCACACTGAGCAGCATAAACAGCGTTCACCGCCAACTGGAGACAGGACAAAGCAACCAGAAACACAAAGGGCAGCACATGGCGGCTGGCAGCCCACATTGCCAAGAGCCCCAGTACGGCCAAACACGTCCCACTGAGGATGAAGGGCCGCCTTCTGCCCCAGGAGGAGCGATGCTGGTCCGAGATCTTGCCAATCACAGGGCAAATGAGCTGGGTGGAACCGCTCACGCCCATGTAGACACCCACCCAGATACTGGGGTTCTCCTGGTGAAACCTGGCAGCTTCCAGAGGAAGAACAATCACTCCCATGCCAGTGCTCAGGCACACATAAAACATCTGATATGCAGTGATCCCCAACCATTTCACAAAGGGCACCGTTGGAGGAGCTGGTGGAGATGACTGACCTCCCACCAAACCGCCCAGTTCTTCGAGACCCCCGCTGCTCCAACAGCTCTCATCTTGGGCATTTCCCACATTTTGCGCCCGCACTGGCACAACGGGACTTGCCATCAGCGCATGTCAGGCGAGTAACGAAACCATTGACATCTCAATGCATGGGTTGAACGTGTTGCCATGTGTTGCCACTGCTGCATCTCAGCTATTTGGCCAAAAAGGTGGTCGTGGTTGGGTCCAAAGGATACCCCATCCCAAACAAACACACAATCAGATTGGTGCAAGAAGCATGAGTTTTCTGCTGTCATGTCCTTCCAGACTCAGAGTTGAAAAACATATGGCTGCAACCACCAGATTGGCAAACGCCATGCTGTCATGCTGTGATACTGTAACTGCCAACTGCCTCAAGGAAGCATTAACACCAACCGCGACGTCTGTACCAAAGGTGAGATACATCTGGACATCCGGTTTCACCGTAAGCTCTGGACAACTTAGGTGTTGCCTCAGCCTCGGGACCGTGTCGAATCTAAGCTTCCCTGCCATATTGGATGATATTGCAAAAAGGTCCGATAGGGCTTCATCACCCCAAAATGGAAAAACACTGAAACCACTAGCAGTCACTTTTTCCGACCAGCTAAAACCATCGATCTCAAAGATCTCATGAAACCCATGAACATCATGACACCTTAATTCTCGGGTAAGGTTCGCACCAGTCCAGCACGCTCCCACTCAGCTCGCTTTCGTTTCAGCTCATCATCCGCCCAGCATCTTGGGTCCTGTGCTGAATTTGGCCACAACAATACTTCTGACAGTTCAACATGGAATAAACCCAAGTGAAATATCGGGGTTGTTTATTCTGCGATGACATTTATTTCTGACCAGTTGCAGGAAACACAAAACCATCACCATCCTGCCATCCTGCCATCCTGCCATCCCTAATGAACTGGGGGTTTAAGACTGGGTTTATCATGGTTTATCACCTTCGTAAATCTCTCATCCAGCCCCCAGGCCAGGCCAGCCTCCCGCACCAAAGGGACAACTCCATGCGTTCCCTTGTCAAGGACCTCAGGGACCAGGCAATCCAGGCACTGCTTATAGGAATCGCATGGCGTGGGTGATCATATGGTTGAAATTCAACTACCGGACTACCGTATTTATGGGCCATTTATGATGGGTCACCATGGGTCACCCACCATCTTCGGATATGTCTATATTATCTATATTTAAGTTCATCTATGACCCAATACTCCAATCAGAAGAGGAGATGTCACCTGGCTCTGACAGCTGGTTGTGGGAGATGCAACCACCTGTGTACTGCTAGTGAGACAGAAAAACGACACAGCTCCACATGAGTTGCTAAGGCTGCTAAGATTGACAGATCCTCTAATCAAACATGGCATTCGAAAATCCTGTGTAGAAATTGGCATTCAAATTCTAACTTCCAGCCAACTCTGTGCTCAGCATCGTCTGAGTGCTTGGCAGCTTGTCGAAAATGGCTGTTTGAACGGAGCGCTGCCAGCTGGGCGGGAGGTGGTGGTGATCGTTCATTGATGGAAAATGATGTGATGAGCATACTTCTTAGTACCCGGTCAAAATAAATTAAATCATTTGAAACCACTAACCAGCTATCAAGATAACACAGACCCCAAAATGGAATAAGATACTTCAGCACTGACAGACTGGCTTCGAATGGTGAGAGGCAGTCTACAAGAGCGGAAGGAAAATCTGGTGATCTCAGTCCAGTCTCAGCTTTTTAATGCTTTTCTCACCGCAAGTCGTCCTAGGGCCTTTAAGGCCAGCCGGGCCGCAGACTGAGAATAGGTTGCCCCAAAAATCCGCCGATTCTCGGCACTAAGAGTTGAGTGGGTGAAACTCGTTTCCGAAAAAGGGGGCCACCAAAAGCACCACAAGATCAACTGAACTTCCAGATGACTTCCAACATTTTTATGATGACCTGAGGTAAACCACCATTTCGATCAACTGGAATGTTCCTAATCCTGCCGTTTTATATGTCTGGTTGGCTGCTTTCCCCCCAATTCTTGACACCTAACCCGACCCCAAGCAGTTGTTGCCCCTCATGGCATCATGGGACGGTCTCTGGAGCCGCTTCAGAAGCTTCGGCCACCCATTCTGAAAAGACACGAAACAAGAGTTTCCGAGGAACATCCAAATCCGCAAAGCCTTTCACCGTAATGACCTCCAAATTGGGTTTCAAAATCACTAACGCCGGATCCGATTGATGTTTGAAGCGCACACGGAGCTTCCGCCAGAGATGGTCCCGCTCCCAAGGAGAGTCAAAAGGCATCACCATCCATGGAGCAGGTGGGCCAGGACGCCCCACAGTGCGAGTGAAGGCCTCCCAGGTGGTGTCGAAACTGCACAGAACCACTTCCAATTTCTCTGTGGGTTTCTCTTCAATCTCCGGGTCTCTCAGATCCAGGTATAACTGCGCCAAACGCTGCAGCAGCGTCTTGTTCAGCTGCAACAGTGAAGTAGGATACAGCTGCTTGTCGACCGTGCTGGAAGTCATGAAAATGAGGCCGATCACTTTTGCATCCTGGAGGGCCTCAAGGGTCCCAATGGGGAACTCCTTGTAGGCGGTTCCTTTGAGGAGCAATGGGCCAAAGAGACCCACAGCACCGTCTTCCTGGCTGGGCGGGGTGAGCACAATCTCTTTCACAAGTTTGTGACCCTCAGTGTCGTTCTCCAGGAGTCTGGAAACGAACTCCTCATAGTCCAGTCTCCGGTCGCGTTTCTTGTCGAGCCTCGCAAACATGTCCTGCAGCACCTTCCCGGTCCATCCCGTGCCTCCCGAGCCTCCTGAGCCTTCTCCTGGAACGAGTCTTTTGATCATGCTGCTCCATTCGTCTCTATCTATGAAGCCATCTCCATCGCTGTCCATTCGGAAGAAAGCTTGGTTCAAGACGTCCTTGGTTTTGCTGAGCCATTCACAGGGTTGGCTGGCCGCGGCCTTGGGCTGGCCTTCTGAAGTCACAATTTCACTTGAAATAGACACTAGGGATGCCAGAGGACTCAAAATTACCAATCCAAACCAGCCAATAAATTCCCAAGACATGTTCTGAGCTTTCACACTTACTTGACTTAAACATACAATTAGGATCAATTAGGGGGAATCCTCCCAATGAGGAGGGGAAAAAGAAAAGATCCCAAGAAATCTCAGGTGTCCAGAGCCTCATGATGTTCCACCTGATTCCACCAGGACTTCAGCTGCCGTTCCGCTTTTCCAATGAGCTCCTGATCCACCTCGCAGGTCCGAGCCTTGTCCAACAGCGCGCTCAGGGCCTCAGCGTCCCTGCGCGAAGCGTGGCTGGGCAGGGGCTGGGAACCCTTCTTCAGTGCCTTCGTGGCAGCATCTTTCACCTGGGCCAAAAACCATCAAAAACCACCATGTTTCTTGGAGGAAATGTGACCATCTTAGAGAAATGATATGAATGATGGACTTTGGAAGAGATCTAGGGGCGACTTGGCTGATTTCCCTGGACAAAGCACATGCATTGAAGATTTAAAATCATTGAAGGACGTTTGAGAAACTTGAACCCCTGGCCTCGAATGGAATTGCTGAACTTTCCATCAGCCGCTACGCCGCTATGCTTTGTGCTGGCGACTCATGGCAGAGCAGTCGGGGGGGCAGCAAATGAGGTGTGCTGGGCGGTCCTTGAGTTATATCTACACAAGGTGGTGCCCAATAGTTAGCTAAGTTGGTTTATAAAGCTCCAAGATAGGGTTTATGGTCGAGATATCTAAGTTGCTATGGTTTATAGACCAACTTATAACTGGGAGGGCACCACCTTGCATTGCAGTATTGTGGTAAAACCACTACTCTTTTCTATTGAATGGATTGAGTGGAGTATGGTACATGATAACCCTCAGATGAAACCAACTAAAGCAAATTACACTTCGAAAAATACCACCATGTAACGAACCCCCTTTTGTCGGGCATGGGGATTTTTTTTCACTCCCCAAGGGTTGATTCCCCGTCGGGTTACCACGTTGCTGCCAGGAAAAACTCTTCTCGGAATGTCTCAGCCTGTCCCTGTGCATCTTGAACCAAAATGTTCAAATGTTGCAAGACCAAACACCTTGCAGCTCTGAACTTCAACCACTTGGAGGTGTCCTCCATCTTGCTTTGGTTTCTGCAGTGCGTTGGCTTTACAGTTCACGACTCGGGAGTTATGCATGGCATGTTGAAGCCACAGTTTTAGTGTTGAGCTTCTGCAACACGCAGCACATGCCCGGCCAGCGCTCGCATGCGTTGGGCAGACTCTGGAGTATTTCCCCACACCTGACACTCGACAGCCATGCCCGGGATCGTGTGTCATGCCTTTTTCATGCCTTTTTCATGCCTTTTTCCCAGCAATTTTTGAACATGTTTGAACATGTCGTGACATGTCGTGGACCTCAAAGAAGGCAACTTGCACATCTTGCACTGCAGCCACTTTTTTTGGACCAACGTCAACCACCTCAACGATGCTGTGAAACATGTCAGCCGCCTTTGCAGCCGTATCCATTGGGACCCTCAAAGGTTAGATCTCGCTTGCCGCGACACAAGGCCTTGCCAGCGGTACCTTTGGCCCCTCCCATCCAATGCATGATCTCAGTCGTCTCATCATCAATGTGGGCTTCACCACCTCGTTCTGCACCTCGGTTGTATTTTTTCCCACTGGCCATGATGACCTTGGAGGTGAAATGCTCTTCATCCCCATAATACAAATCATTCAAGCAAATCTGCTCATTGCTGGTGCAGCGCAGGGATGCAGTTCCAATCCGAGCGTTTTTCAGGAATTTGTATCCTGCCCAGTGAGCATCAAAGGTATCTTGGAAAAGATTTTGTGTAAAGATGCTGTTCTTGGCAAACATGAGGCCCCCGTTGATGCGCCGCGCGCCGTTCTCATCCAACCAATCCTCATTGGTCAGGAACAAATCCTTACCTTCACTCTCCAGAATCTGGGCAATGCGCCGAAGGGTATCCAGCTGTGGTTGCACCAAAGCAGCATCAGCATCCAACATTAGAACGTGGGTGAAGGCTTGAGGGCTCAACAAGTAATCTTGCATCATGAGATGCTTTTCCCAGTTGTATGTCTCACGTTCATTCATTTTTGTGCACGCGTTCAAGCTTTTCTTGCCACACTCCTTGATCATCCACTCCGGCAACTGAGGATCTGTGGGCCATGCTCGAATCACCATGACATGGCCATGTTTCTTTGCATGTGCCCGGTTGGTGGCCAAAATGGCGCGTAGCCAATCTGGCCGATTCTCAAGCTTGCGGTTGTCCTTCCTGTTCCCCCATGTGCTTCTGGAGTCCGAGAGAACTGCCTGCAAGATGATGATACCCCCAGTTTTTTGGGGCCGGGCATCAAGAACAAGTTCATCCTTGCGCGCCAGCCAACTTGGTCGGGCTTCTGAGATGGGAAGTCCTGCAAAGGGATCAATGCTAGGCGGAGTTGGAGGAAGTTCACTTAGCTCTGGGAGCCTGGGGATTTGGGCCTGATATACGTTCCATTGGTCAGAGGTCGGGCCATCCTCCTCACCGAAGGGAGCGCAGCAACGACATAACCAGTCCGGATGGCTGGGACTGAACATGAAAAATCGACCACAATCGACATTGCTGGAAACCTGCTGGTCACATGCCTCAATAGTGGGGATGTTGCCCAGTTCAACCGCTTGATCAGCACATTCCGACTTCGCAGCAAAAATCTTCGGGCGGTATTTCCCTCCGCTAGAAGAATCCTCCTGCACTGACCCTTTCTGCTGTGGGTGCTCTGGCTCTGACTCGGCTACATTCGAAGGCACCTCCCTTGGCACATCCGGTACTTCAAGCACCGGCACAGTGTCTGACCCCGTACCTGCCGTATCCGTGGAGTCGGGACTTGGTTGCGCCAAGCCCTTGAAATCCAAGGGGTCCAAGGACTCAGTGGAGAACTCCCAGTAGAGGCCAGGGAGGCCAACCACGGCGGCGCCCAAAATGATTGGCACCACTCCGCGACAGCTATGCCCTCTAGCCATATGAAGCCATCTGAGTCATGCCCAACGAACACCAAACATGAGCGCCGGACAGGTGTTGAGCTACAGTATAAGCTGCGTGACGCACCATGGCCCGGCAAAGATGTTGCCAATATATAAAATTCATGATAAATATATATATATATACTACAAAGAGGTATCAACAAGATTCAGCCAACATCTCTCCCTCTCTCTCCCCGCCATCTCAATGACTTCAGCCACATATACATCATATCCATCAAATGTCATCAAATCTAATATCCATCATAATCATCACTTAAATCATATCTCTAACTTTTTAACTTTTTCTAACTTTTTCTGACAATACCTCACATCCCTTCAGGAAATCTAACATCATCGAAGCTAGCTATGGCAATCTATGGCAGCTATGGCAGCTATGGCACCTCCAAAAAGGAGGCTGCCAGGTCCTCTCCGAGCTTTCGATGACCCAAGGCTTCAGCCAGCCGGGCGGCAGCTTTGGCTTGGAAACTGCCCTGACGTCCCATCTTCAGAGACCCCAAGTATCTGACAAGGGGTGATGATGGTGATGAAGGGATTGCTAAATGTATGGTAAATGTCCATCTTGTTCACCAGAACGATTGGAGAATAGAATATATATATATATAATATCCAACTTAAATACTTGAAAGAAGTTCTTCACAATCTCCAATGAGTCACAATGGGACATTTACCAACCCCTGGCAAATCAGCGGAGCTAGAAGCACAATGCGCTCAGCGCCATGTTGTTCAGCCAAACGGAGGAAACACAAACGAAGCGGCGATGGAAAATTGAGCTCCCACCTCTTCAGCTCCAATCCCATGAGCCTGGCCCAGTTGGTGTGATAAAACTATATAAAAGTGATGCCCTGGATGGAGTCTCGATGGTTCAACCGTTCAACCTGTTCCACATCCAAGGGCTGATGCCCAGCCTCGCCAGTGGGCCTTGGCCTCTCTGAGGGATCAGCAGCCTCCACATCACTGTGCTCGACAATTTCCTGACGATGGGAAAACCATCATTACCCGCCATCGTTGACATCGTTGACATCGCTGACATCGTTGACATCGTTGACATCGTTGACATCGTTGACATGGCCCAGGTCATAAAATCCAACCCCGCACTCAGAGTGGAACTCAGACATCTATTTGGACCCTTGACTCAACTTGGTTCCCAGCAATTTCACTGGTTGTCTGACCTCAGCACGTGCCAACACAAATGACTCTGGGTACAAGTGTGATCACTTCAAATCATGAACAGGCTCTCCGTGCGATAAATTGTCATACAAGCTTAGCACTTCAGCCATCCTCAACCATTTTTCGTTTGCAGTTGTCTTACTGCACTGTGAGGGCCTGCAAGTTCATTACATGGTGAAGGCTTCGCGCCAGTGCATTCTGCAGGCGCCGCTTCAGCTCACCATCGCTTGCAACGAATTTCTCACCCGGCTGGGTGGTCCCTTGGGGCTGGGATGGTCCCAGCCTTCCGAACTCTGGGGACTGCGCCAAATGGGGCGAAAATTGTGACGATCTTCGAGTCCTCTCGGTCTCCAAGGTCACGAGGCGCAAAGGGGAACTGAAGTCATGCGTCTCTGGGCTTTGGCATTGGGGCTGCGCTTCCTCTGTTTGCACAGCAGCTTCACGCGAGGCACCTTCAAAGGTCTTGAAGGACTCTGTCTGCACCGTCTGCACCGTCTGCATCGTCTGCAATGCCTCACTACTGACATTGACCGATCGATCGCTGGAGCGAAGCAGTTTGGAAGGTTGAGGAATGCGAACGGGGCTCTGGCAATTCACTTCATCTTCACAGCTTCGGGGCATCTCCAAGGACATGGGGAGCCTGGGTGCATGGAGCACTTCTCGAAGCGAGCTTCGGAAGCTTTCCGAATTACATGCAACTGTTCCAGCTGCGAAATTGATTGGAGGCGCTCCTCTGGGTGCTGGCAGGGGCCGTGCAAATGATTGAAGTCTGTTTAGCCGCAGTCCGTGGCCGGCGTGTCGCATCTCAGAACGAGGACCCAGCAGCTTCAGCTCGGGTGGATTGCTCGATGCACGAGCCCGCTCCGGCTTGGCACAAGGTTTCCAAGCAGGTACACGCATCTCCGCCGAGCGAATCTCTGCTGAGCAAAGCACAGGCCGCATCGGAGACTTCATAAACTCATCCTGGGTTCCATATGTTCCATGCTCACTGGTGGCAGAAATCAACAAACCAGTGGCATGCGTGCTGGTCGCATCACAACTGGTGCCAAACGCATGGCGCGTGGTGCTGTGTGGCCCCGGCGAAAAATGGAACTTGAAATGCCCAGCTCCGCTCGAGGCCCCACCCGTGATGGGTTCCCCTGGAAATCGCGGGGTCGAGGCACCAAGAGATGGGACGGCACTGACGGCACTGACGCCACCATCTGCACCAAGGGTAGCGTGGAACGCACCAAGGGGATCGCGACTCCGGCGATCTGATGCCAAACTAATGCTGCTGATGGAACCCAGCGAATCATTCAGCTGGGATTCAATGGGCACAGTGCCATACCTTGCCTCGAAGCTTTTGATGTATTCGTCCAATCGGCCAGTGGGACTCGATTTTGGGTCATGGCTTTGATTTGCCATAAACCACACTGGACATCGGAAGAAAAAGAAAATATCTATCCCGCAGCTTGAACGAGGTAAAAATGCGGCAGCGCAAGCACACAGCGTTCAAACGACAGATCATCCCCTGAATGCGAGGGTAAACGGGTCGATGCCAAAGATCAGAGCCGGTGACCCCGAGTCAAGGTGGACCTACTGTTGAACCCTTCAATGGGTGTATGCCCATGCCGCCACCGCCCATGCCGTCCATGCCCTGTGCACCATCCTTACACGTGATCTCAGGCATCCGTTTTTGTTCTCGATTTGAAGAATTTTGAACAGCTCAACACAGTTCAACACAGACAAGGTGAAACAGTTTGAAACATGGGAAGGGCAAGTAACTTGGGATCAGACATCAACCACCCCCCAACATGGCCATGGCCATGGCCCACATCAAGGCTCAGGCATTCTTTGGGGCCCAACAGCAACCGCTCTCGGCGCCATATGCGCTGGCCAGGCATTCTGAAGCTGAGTTTCGACTTGCAATGACTTGCGGCTCCCAGTTGGCCCAGTTGGGTGGAGTTGATTGGTATTGGTGACCTAGTGCCTAGCGCCGTGTTTCTGCAACCATCAGAAGCTAGATGAAGTGGGGCAGTGGGGTTTGAAATCTGCTGACATCAACGAAGTGTGAAAACGCGGACTTCTCTTTACGCCTTGAAATCACCATGCAGACAAAGGCAAACATTGAGCCACGCAGGTTCAGCCTCGCAACAATAAACAGCTGAAAATTCAATACATCTGGATCTGCGCAAAAAAAAACCGTATCCCGTTTGGAAATGATGAACCGGCTTCAAAATTCTGATATGTGCCACTAGCAATATCATAAATGCCCAGCCACCCTGGCAGAAGTTTGGAAACTACAAAGCCTGTAAGAAGGGTTGCTGAGTAACTGACATGAGGTGTGACTGCTTGAATGACTGAAACTCTGGCATATGTTCCAGCTGTTTATCCTTACGGAGATATAATATATAAATATATATATATATGTGTGTGTTTGTGTTTGTGTGTGTTTGTGTGTGTTTGTGTGTTTGTGTGTGTGTGTGTTTGTTTGTGTGTGTGTGTTTGTGTGTGTGTGTGTTTGTGTGTGTGTGTTTGTGTGTGTGTGTGTGTTTGTGTTTGTGTGTGTGTGTTTGTGTGTGTGTGTGTTTGTTTGTGTGTGTGTGTGTTTGTTTGTGTGTGTGTGTTTGTTTGTGTGTGTGTGTGTTTGTTTGTGTGTGTGTGTTTGTGTTTGTTTGTGTGTGTGTTTGTGTTTGTTTGTGTGCGTTTGTGTTTGTTTGTGTGTGTTTGTGTTTGTTTGTGTGTGTCTGTGTGTGTGTCTGTGTGTGTCTGTGTGTGTCTGTGTGTGTCTGTGTGTGTCTCTGTGTGTGTCTGTGTGTGTCTCTGTGTGTGTGTGTCTGTGTGTGTGTGTCTCTGTCTCTGTCTCTGTCTCTGTCCCTGTCTCTGTCTCTGTCTCTGTGTCTGTCTCTGTCTCTGTGTCTGTGTCTCTGTGTCTCTGTGTCTCTGTGTCTCTGTGTCTCTGTGTCTCTGTGTCTCTGTGTCTCTGTCTCTGTGTCTCTGTGTCTCTGTCTCTCTGTCTCTGTGTCTCTGTGTCTGTGTGTCTGTGTGTCTGTGTCTGTGTGTCTGTGTGTCTGTGTGTCTGTGTGTCTGTGTCTCTGTCTCTCTGTCTCTCTGTGTCTCTGTGTGTGTCTCTGTGTGTGTCTCTGTGTGTGTCTCTGTGTGTGTCTCTGTGTGTGTCTCTGTGTGTGTCTCTGTGTGTGTCTCTGTGTGT